GTGATGTCTGAACAATCTCCACACAAATGAAGATATTTGAAGCAGCAAAAATGTAATTCTATAGGTGGATGCTGAGAATGGACCAATCATGTGAGTGATGACAAAGTTTTAGAGAAAATGGTAAGAAAAAGACATTTATACTTAATATCAGAAATTTCTAAGATACATAATGAGGACAAAGGGCTTGGAAAATTCGACACTCACAGGACATTTTTGAAAGCAAAACGGACAGAGAAAGTAACCTACTTGTGTAAATAGGTGGAAAAACAGGGATTGGAAGGTATATTGCAATAGTGAAAGATGCCTTCTAAAAGCTAAGCAAAGTATGAAGAAACAGGAAAATTTTGTTAGAAACAAAGAAAACGATACTGAACAGCTATATAATATATAATCTCCTATATGGCAGTGAATGCAGGACAATTTCCTCAAAGATAAAGAAGAGACTTGAAACAGCAGAAATGTGTTTCTACAGAAGGATGCTGAGAATACCATAGACTGAACATATGAGCAATTACAAAATTTTAGAGAATATGGAAGCAAAAAGGAGACTTGTACTCAGAATTAGAAAGAAATAATTGAAATTCCTAGGGATGATAATGAGGAAAAAAGGCTTGGAATATTTAATACTCACAGGACATGTTGAAGACAAGATGGTCAGAGAAAAGCAGAAAATAACTGACTTAATGAGCTTGTGTAAATGGTTGGCAAAACAGGGATTAAGAGATATAAAAAATGACAAACACTGCTAAGAGCTACATAGAACAGGAAGTTGTGGAGAGCCATGATCCTGAAGAAGGAGCAGAATGTGTATATCATTTTTTTGCAAAACAATGTTAACATCTTGATCAGTGACCACAAATGGTAAATTAATCAAAACCGTTTCACAGACTAACTCTTTCTGGAAGAACCGGTGCCTATTTGTATACAATAAAAGCAACAAGGGAAGGCAATAGTGAAATAGGAAAATGCAGAGAAAGAATTTGGGCTGGATATTGTTAGGCTGGACTGGTCCTCTTTCCCACCCAGTCATTTCTCAAACTTTCCTCTAACCACCCAAAACCACCTCCATAGCTTTTATTTCGATTTCCCTCTACCCTGTTCCCACCAGCTTCAAAAACCCACCCTTACCACCCATGTGCACATGACAATGCAGCCCTTAAATATGGAATGCAAGCTCACTGCTCTGGGGATACATTGAGTTTACTTGGTCTGTGAGGGTCTGTGGTCGGTTCCTGGAAGAGAAAAGAAAGATGAGGTGTTAACAGAAAGGGGTAACATGAGAGGCAGAGTCTATTAATTACACAGTTCGTGTGACTGGACATCAAGGTTGAAGATTTTGAACCAAAGTTAGTATTGGAAAGGCATTTCTTCATCTGTTTTTGTGTCATGGAATTAGAGGATGATGGCAGTGGGTGTCTGGTTGAGGATTATCAGGGTTGGGAAAAGCCAAGTTGTACTGTGATAGCCTGCTCCTTCCCCACTAATAGGAACAAGAAAAATATGTGGAGTAGGATTGGCTTTTTAAGAGGTAAGAGGCAGAAAAACCATTTATAATAATTACTTATTGATAACAATTGTCTATTCCTTTCCAAAGATCTTTCAGCCAAAGGGTTTTTTCTAGATAACATTTTAAAAACTTCCTCCATACGATAATATCATCAATTATATATATATATATATATATATATATATATATATATATATATATATGGGAAGAGGTTATAGTTATTCCAACATGAGAAAATTGTATATTTTAAAAAGAAGAGAGAAATCACAATTTTTTTTTGTTTTAATGTAAAATTTTTTTAAATATATATTATACTTTATTTTACATAATTTTGCTACATGTGTTTCTGGTCTTGCAAATTTCTTCAGTCAAAGAGTGGATATTTACACATATTATTAAAATGAATGAATTCTCCTTATGGTTTCTGATGTTAAACATTCTTTTTTGTGGGGTAGTGGTGTCAAAAAAAATGAATAGTGTCTTTATTTCTGACACTACCAAGGCCACAACAACAATATTCAAGAAATATACATATATATATATATATATATATATATATATATATATATATATATATTATTTAATTTAGGATATTACATTGAAAAAATGTCAAAATCACTACACAATTGCAGTTGTGTTTCGGTGTGTATCAAATGCCTCTCATCAGGCAAATGTAAATTACTGGCGAGTGAATGATTTATTTAGTTTTAAAAGCAAAATACAACCTCTTTTAGGAAAAAAGTAAAAAAAGTGGTTATAAGATTTGTGGGTTTTACTTAGATCAACTAATATAATCAAAGCATATAACTAGTTTAACATTTTGTTAAACTATGACTCCATCTCATTTTTTCTAAGGAAATGACATTGTCTAGTGTGTAAAATATGTTTCTGTTAACATCTGCTTCCGTTTAACTTCTGTGCTGGTTGTATTTTGCTTTTAAATACAAATAAATCATTCACTTGGCTGTAATTTACAATCACCTGATGAGATGCATTTGACATGCATTGAAACACGACTACAATTGTGTAGTGATTTTGACATGTTTTTGATGTAATATTGTAAAATAAATAATATTGTTCTACTTTGTATTGAGCCATATTTTAAATTAAATGTTACGAACGTTAGAATTGAACCTTATTCATTTTCATCTTACTTGGATATATATATATATATATATATATATATATATATATATATTAATATATATATATATATATAAATAATATATATATATATCTTATGAAATGGACAAATCCAACAATTATTTTAAAGACATTTTTATGTTTATACATTTTTTTTATAGATACAAATATTTAAGTAAATGCTCTGTTTATAATAAACAGTATTAAAATATTTACCGGCCTCCAAAATTTTCATAGAAAATATTTGTCCCTCAACAGGAATGAACCTGTATCCTATAATGAACCATCAGATAGCCTGATGTGCCTAAACCAGTTGAGCCACAGAGGATTGTTTGGTTAGCAAGGTCGATTTTACTGCTTTTACTGTCAGAGGACGAATATTTTTATGAAAATTTCTCGGACATTCAGACTGGTAAATGTTATTAATACTGTTTATTATAAACAGAGCATTTACTGAAATATTTGTATCTATAAAAGAATGTATAAACATAAAAATAAAATAAAAATATATATATATATATATATATATATATATATATATATATATATATATATATATATATATATATATATATATCTGTATATTATTTAAATGAATATTGTTTAAATTGCGATCAGATTGTTATTATTTGGGATGGATGCATGTGCTGTATTTGAAACAGACGCCTTATTCTTATTTTAAACAGTATATATTATGTATGTCAGCTTGTGCATTTGACAAATCTTTAAAAAAAAAAGCTGCTCTCTGGCAGTAATTGAATCTGTTGCCTCTTTTTGTAGGAAAAATCACCATTTGATCCTGTGTGCATCACCACTTGGCTACACAAGTGTTCACTATAACAACATTTAGAATAATGAAAATGTTGCATTAAAAATAAATCCATTAATTCTTTAGGAATTACATTGCTTACATTTTGGATAAAAATTTTTGAGAAGAATATCTGGATGAGGGAGCATGCTTTTCTTGAAAGGGAACTAGAGCTTTGCTGGATTGTTATGCTCTCTGTAGCCAAACAGTAAACACACCAGATCAAATGGTGTCTTCTCTTACAAAGGAGTACAAAGGTTTGATCCCTGCTAGAGAGCACACTTTCTTTATTAAGATTTTGTGACTGCACAGGCTGATAGAAATAATAACCAGAAAAGAGAAATAAAAATTGGAAGTATATTTCAAATGTGAATTTTTAAATTAATGAAAATATCAGATCAAAAATAAATCATTTGGTTAAAGATCAACCAACAATAAAATAATCAATAAATTAAAAAGTTAAAAAACAACATTATAAATAGCCCCAAAACTGCATCCAAATCCATAATTATTTCCACCCAATAGCCACTAGAATTATCTGAAACATAACCATTACCCCCACCAAAATAAAACAATCATTAGAACAATACAATAGATTACCCACAATGCATTACTATTGCATTAATGAATAAAAAAATCCATTACTTCTTTTTAAACTACTTTGTTTATGTATGGATATGAAACTGAGCAGATAATGAAAATTTTAAGGAATCGAGGACAAGAAGGATTACTTTTAAAAGCACTGTTCAGACCTTGCTTGATTGGCAAAGCTTCTTCATGGCTGAGTTGGTTAAGGCACATTGTCTCTAACAATGGTTTCCTTCTTCCCAAAGAGATGCAGTTTCAAATCCTGCTGAAGAGCACATATATTTTTTAATAAAATTTCCTGAATCTTCAAGCCAGTAGATGATAATAAATAAAAATACTGCTTAATAAATAAATGATAATAACTCCTTATCTAAGATAGTAATGGTTGTTCACAGGTTAACTGGATTTTTCAATTTTCAACCTTAAATGTATTTGAGAAAATTTTGGTGATTTTGTGGGTGGGGTATTAATTAATCATGAAGAAAGAGAGTGTCAGTGGTCAGGAACTAATGCAAGTATTATGGCAGGATTAGGATTATTAAAATGCATTTTATCTTGATTTGTTATTTATCAATTTAAAAGTTTATCGATATAAAATATTTGAAATATTTCTAAAAGTGAAAGAGGAATAAATAAAAAAGGAAGAAATGCAGACAAGTAGGAAAATATCAAAAGAAAGAATTGTTGATCCATTGATTTGTTTTTTACTGTTTATCAACCCTTTGCAGATTATTTAAAGTTGAAAGATATTTTAGATTGCAGGGGTTTGCTTACAGTACAAAAGAAAGGGAGTAAAAAGATGTATAAGATGAAGTACAACAAAGAAAGAAAGAAAGAAAGAAAGAAAGAAAAAGAGAAAAAAGAAGGAACGGAAAAAAGAAAGAAAGGAAAAATGAAAGAAAGAGAGAAGTAAAGAAAGATCAAATGAAATAGAATAAAGAAATTAAAAAATATCTAATTAAGGAGAAAAAAAGAAAGAAAGAAAGAAAGAAAGAAAGAAAGAAAGAAAGAAAAATGTAGAAAGAAAGAAAGAAAGAAAGAAAGAAAGAAAGAAAGAAAGAAAGGAAATATAAGATGAAGTAGAACAAATAAAGAAAGAAATACCAACTGAAAGAATGAAATTTTAAATGACAGAGGACAAAAAAGAAAGAAAGTAGAAAGAAAAAAAAAAGAAAGAAAGAATGAAAGAAAGAAAGAATGAAAGAAAAAAGAAAGGAAGGAAAGAAGAAAAATGTAAAAAGAAAGAAAATATAAGATGAAGTATAACAAATAAAGAAAGAAATACCAAATGAAGGAGAATAAAGAAAGAATGAAAAATATGAAATGTTAAATGAAGGATGACAAAAAAGAAATATCAAATGAAGGATAAAAAATGAAATTTCAAATGACAGAGGACAAAGAAAGAAAGAAAGAAAGAAAGAGAGAGAGAAAGAAAGAAAGAGAGAAAGAAAGAGAGAAAGAAACAGTATAGAAAAGAAAGTGAGGAAAAGAAATGAAATAATAAAAGAATGAAATAAAATGTCAAATAAAAGTAAAAATGAAGATAATCAAGAAAAAGACTTAAAAAGTGAAAAGAAAAGATGAAGAATTGGAAGGGAGAATTTTAAAAGGGAAGTAAAAGAAAGAAAGCAAAAAGAAATGAGTAAATTACACCTACCCCAACCGCAGAAAAAAAAAGAAAGATAAAAAAGAAAGAGAAAGAAAAACAAAAAAATTTAAACCAAAGAAAAGCTATGAATTACCAATAAATAAATAATTAAATAAAAAAAAAATAAATGGAATAAATAAATAAATAAACCTAAAAAGAAAGGATTTCCGGTGGGTGGGTGGGTGGATGGTGTGAAAATTATCAACTGCACACATCCTGAAGATGCTTAGCTTAATGTCTTTTCATTATCTAGTTCTTATTTTTTTTTCTTTTTAGACGGCTGATTCCGCAAACAACAAGAGATAAAGATTCTTCTAAGATGTCCAAGAACAAGACAGTCTAAGGGTGTTAAGTAAAGAAGTTTATATCTACTAGTCTGCTAGACATGGGGGAAAGGTTGAAATTTTAGGTTTAAGTCTGTTGGATTGTGATTGGTGTGGAGGACTGTAATGGAACAGGAGAAACACGTCACGTTGGTCAATTGCAATCAGATAGACGGTCCATTTTCGAAGAGCACCAAGTTACAAGAAATAAAAAGTGAGGGAACTTTCCTTCACAGAACTAGCAAGGTCAGTTTTGTCAATGATCAATTTCTTATTTTATTCTTTATGTTCTTCCAGGAAGTAAGCGATCATAGTCCTCCACAACTTCCAGTCTTTTATTGTTCTAACTTTAGACTCTTTATCATCCCTCTTTATCTTTACTCTGCCATCCATTTGTACAAATTTGTTTAGTAGGTTACTCAGTCTTTCTTCTTGCTTCAGTATTTACTTCAGTATATCCTATGAGTGTTAAATTCACTTGGCCTACTTTCCTCATTATATAACAAAACAATATTAACTTTTTTCTTGCTGATAATAAGTATAATAATAATTTAATATAATAATTTCCCTTGTTTATCCTATTTTTTTAAACTCCCTTTTCAGCATTCATCTGTGACTGTCATCAGAAAGTAGTTCTTCATCGGGGAAGAAATTTCAAGCATTTCTCTTGCACCATTTAACCTAAAAGTAAGGTGTTTAATCATAATATAGTGATTAACATGCTGGATCCTGATTCGGTTTCCAGTACTAGATTAATTATAGGTTTAACTTGGTTTCTTTATTTCATAATAAAGTAATTTATGCTAACCGGCTATTAACCTAATAGAGACCAGTGAGATCAATGAAGCAAAAAATGACTAATGGACTGACTGTTTCACATATTCTATGCCAAGTAAGCCAAGAATCACTGTATCTAATAAAATGAAATACATTCTTAACTTTTTGCTTAAAAAAAACAGGGAAGAGTATTATAGCTGTGGATATATATGTACACAAATATGGTCTTTGCATAAAATATGCAAAGATCCCTACATAGGTAGAGAGGTATGAATAGGCTATGAATAGATAAAGAGATATTTATGAATAGAATGAGAGACAGAGAGAGAGGAATAGACTGAGATAGATAGATAGATAGATAGATAGATAGATAGATAGATAGATAGATAGATAGATATGAATAGGCTGAGAGATATAAATAGATAATTATATATAAAGGAATAGATAGATAGATAGATAGATAGATAGATAGATAGATAGATAGATATGAATAGGCTGAGATAGATAGATAGATAGATAGATAGATATGAATAGGCTGAGAGATATAAATAGATAGGTATATAGATAGATAGATAGATAGATAGATAGATAGATAGATATGAATAGGCTGAGAGATATAAAGAGATAATTATATATAAAGGAATAGATAGATAGATAGATAGATAGATAGATAGATATGAATAGGCTGAGATAGATAGATAGATAGATAGATAGATAGATAGATAGATAGATAGATAGATAGATATGAATAGCTTTTGGATAAATAAATAAAGATTTATAGATGTGAAAAGACTGAGAGAGAGAGACAGAGATAGATAGATAGATAGATAGATTGAGATAAACAAAACTAGCACTGTAGTAACAGGGTAATTCTTTATTCTTTTCCATAATCGCCTGGAATTTCATTTTTTTTAAATATTTCTGTGAGAAAATAAAGCATAAGTGGCTCTAACACGTATAATTCTACAATGGGTCAAAAATGGGGAACAAAATAAAAACACTTCACAGAGAATAAAATGACTGACGGTATTAATAAACATGCTCTAACCAAATTTATCCATTCAGTCTTATAAACAAAGATATAAACACAATACAGTCTCCTTTATTAAAAAAAAAAAAGGACAGATCTAAGTCTGTAAAAATTACTGTCTGGCATAGCCTAGTGGAAAAAATACTGGCAGAGTTTCACTTGTCCCTTGGAAGTTTTGAATTCTATTTTGGGGTCAGGTAGTACAGAAATACTTAGATATCTGTTAAATAGCAGAGTGAACTGGGCTATCTAGCCTTGAGTGGCATCCAATCTATTAGAGGGAAAGTTTTGAATTCTAAACCATGGAGGGGGCCCCAGGGATCTACTCCCTTATATTTACCAGGAAGGTTTGGAAATTTTCAGATAAAGTAAAATAATCTATTAAGGAAATAGAGAGCCATGTTTGAATTCCAGTCAAGTTTATCACTTTTACTTACGTGCTAATAAATTTGAAAAAAGTATAAATCCATCTTTTCCTCTGATAACTTTGGATAAATAAAAGGAAAGACTGGGTACTGTAGCCTTTGTTTGAATTCAAAACCTAAGGAGAATTGTTTGGAGAAATTGATGTATGTAGTTCATGAGTTCTTTGTATTCAGCCATTCCAAAATGTAGCTGATTCTGCAAAAAACTTTACTACTGTAATTAAATCATATGTGCAGGTAGTCTGGCTGTTTGAAAAATGACATTAGAGTCCTCCATATATATATATATATATATATATATATATATATATATATATATATATATATATATATTTATTATTTAAAAAAATTATAACATAAGTATGTTATAAAATCACTACAAAATAGCCATTTTGTTTCAACATACTCGTGTCTTATCAAGTGATGATGTTGAAGATAAAATAAATGGTTTTAAAAAGTTTCAGATTAATTAACGATCCTACACTAGGGGAAACATTGTTACAAAAGCTAGAATAACCAATCAAAAAACTAAGTATAGAAAGATTCAAAAAGCTTGACAACCTAAATCATGTTATAATAGCTATTCAGATCTTTAAAAATCTCGTAATATTAAAAAATAATTTATACTAACCAATAATTATAAAATTATATGATAAAATTTAATATTAAAATTAAAAACTGGCAATTTTAAAATCCAAATTTAATCACTATTAAGTTAAAAACTGTCCTTTTTTTTTTTTACACGTATATATATATATATATATATATATATATATATATATATATATAATATTAGTGGTAAATACACACATACATGTAAAATATATAATGAACTCAATGTCCAGGACAGAGTAAGGATATAATAAAAGGCTTAAACACTAGCATTCCATGGTCATAATTTATTCCATTAGAATCGTAAATTTATCTGATTCATCAGACCTACAAGCTCAAATTTTTTGAATTTGTAGGTCTGATGAATTGGATCATATTTATTCCAATGGAATAAATTATGACCATGGAATATTAGTGTTTAAGTTTTTTTTATATATATATATATATATATATATATATATATATATATATATATATTTGTGTATTTAGGCAGCAATCCTTCTATCATGCACATTTCAATGAATACAACAGACAAGGTGCTTTTATTTAGTTTTTTATACAATTTCTGGTTCTGCTGCTGCCTCATTCCTGCTCAGATTGGCCAGTGCTAATTCCACTTCAGATTTTAATATCTCTGGTCCTTCGATAGTTCCTGATATTGCTGTTTGCTCTTTTCATCTTGAAAGAATTCATCGATGTATTCGCTCCATTTCTGAAATATTTTTTCTTTCTCTAATATCAGTGTTGTGTCCTTTGATTTTATGTATCCTGTCCATGTGTATGTCTTTTAACCTGATTGTTTTTTTTTGTTTTCTTTAAAGAATTTCATCCCAAGCAAGGCAGGAGTACCACTATCTTGAAGAGGGTTACAGAGAGTGAGAGCAAGATTAAAGATTAAAGGGGGGTGTTTGAGGAAAGGATATAGAGAAGAATGGTGATCAGGATCAAAGCAAGAGAATATGTTGATTGATATTACATTTGAATATTTGAAGATTATAGCCATCAGGGAAGCAAGCAAGAGGAAGGGAGTTTTCCTGTTAGGAAGTGTGAGAGAATAAGCTGTTGTAGTAGAAGAGATGGCTAGATTTAACTGTTTTGACAGGGAAAGGGGGGAACCGAGATACCAACCTAGTAGCACATTTAAATTCATACAATTTGGGCACCAGTGAAAGTAGCTCATCAGAGCAGTTGCCATAAAAATATTTGTTGAAAAGACAGTGGGAAGCCACATCACATCTGTGAAAAAGTGGTTGTACACAAGATGCCAGATAAGGACCTATTTCTTTTAATTTTTTATGCATATAGTTTCCATTGAGCCATTCCTCTTTTGTCTTTCTGTAATTTCTTTGTGAAATGTCCGATATTTTGTGCAATACCTTGGCATTGTTTACTGTCTCTTTTTCTTATCTTAGTTAGTTTAGGGATGATCTCATTTGTTAATGTTAATTTTGCTTCTCTTACTGCTTCCCATTTTGAATTCCACACTCATTTATTTAATTATCTGCTTTTAACACTGTTGTAGAAGACCAGAGGGTGATGAGTATGTATTGTAGAAGAACACATGTGGGTAGAATTTCCTACTAGCTGGTCCAACTACATGAGAAAGTTGGACTTTAATTAAGTCCAAAGAAGACAAAGAAAACAAACAAGACCGATAAATATATACAAACAAATATATGTATTAATAACAAGTTACAGGTTACAAGCACATGGACAGTTACATGGACAGAGTGCGTGTGGTGAATATTATGTGTGTGTGTTGTGTTGAGTGCTCGTATTGTTCTTAGCGTGTTCCCAGAATTTGGGAAATACTGTATCTGTGAGAGCTCACATCTGCTAGGTGGTATAAGGCTGAAGGCCTGAGAAAAAAAAGAGATTGAGGTGAAGGGTCAGACAGTATTTATAGCCAGGGGAGAGAGACTCCTGGTGAAGGGTTAAGGAGCTGAGGAGTAGCTAACTCCGGCACTTTCGATATACAACTCCTTCAGGGTTGGGTCATTCAAGATTTTATTGCATTACATTTATATATATATTATTAAATGTATGTATATTATTAAATAATAAAATAATTTGTGTTGTTATGTGCCTGCTCTACAACTCAGAGTTTCCTGCAATGATTCCAATCTTCAGGTGGGAATGAATCATATACATATGCATATATATATATATATATATATATACGCTTGCCTCTCCTGTCGAATTCGACGCATGAGGGTCAAGCAGATCAGTTCCTAGAAAACTGACAGCCTGACAACAGCACACGAGATTTGATTATAGTGGTGAAGGTTTCATGCAGGACCATCCACACTTTTTGAAGGGCCGAATACAGAGACCTGGTGCACTAAGTGCCACAAGGTCCCCAAACAACCCTCTGCAGGCTTTGAATTGAAAGTTGTCCTTCTCCTAGACCAGTTGCCATCCAAGGCTATAGAACCCAGTCTGTCCTGCTATTTACCCATAGCTGGAGGGAGAAGAAGAGGATTCACACCTTTCCCAAGGGTATTAGCACAGAATAGAATTTGAACTTGGCTCTCCGATTCCTCAAAAAAAACAAACAAAAATCCTTATATACAATTTATACTGTTTTAATGTTAATATGTCAACGTCGGACGTTTCAGTCTAATAAACCATCTTCAGGACATATTCATAAATTATAACATTATCAATACAACATGACAAATATGAATATGTCCTGATGATGGTTTATTAGACCGAAACGTCCGACGTTGACGTATTAACATTAAAACAGTATAAATTGTATATAAGGATTTTTGTTTGTTTTTTCCGTATATATTTTTCTTCATACTGTCGGATTTATATCCATATATTTGCTTACATATATATATATATATATATACATATATATATATATACACGGTGCAATTTGATATATATTACAATGAATCATTCATACAAAAAGCAAATTAGTAAAGTTAATGCTATAAAATGGTGAAATTCTTTTGCTAACAATCACTTGATGAATATTATGATCCACATTTTTAAAATTTATAAGCTGTATAAGGTCTTTCTTAAATATTACCTGAATTTTACCAAAACAAAATAATTTCCATGCCTGAAGATGACCGAATGTACAGTTGAAAGTCCTTGTGTATTTAAGAAAGACATTATACAGCTTATAATTTTAAAAACAATGATCATGACATTCTTCGAATGATTGCTAGGTTAATGTACCTTTCAAATTTTGTTAACGAAGGGATTTTGTCAATTTATATCATTAACTTTACTAATTTACCTTTTGTATTAATGATTCATTATAATATGTAAAATAAGAACAAATAGAATTTAATTCATGATTGCATTTAGTATCTGTCTATATTTTTGAGATGAGGTATTATGTACACTATTTACATTGTTTGGACTATCGTCCTTATCTGTGTTGCCATATTTATCACAACGTTTCAGCCATTCTATGCTCCTTGGGTCTTGTCACTGGATCTAACCAATGCCTTAATGTACTGTGCCATGTGTCCTTGAGGACAGGGTTAGGGTTAGACATGGCACGTGGAACTAGAAGAATCTACTCCAGCAAGTGAAATAAAGTGTTCAGTTTGGCATTCCAACCACCTGAAGAAGGCCCGAGGGTACAACAGCCAAGACGTTGTGATAAATATGGCAACAAAGATGAAGATGATTGCATTTGTGTAGCATTTTTACATGTTTTTTGATGCAATATCCTAAAATAAAATATATATATATATATATATATATATATATATATATATATATAATGTATATTTATGCAGCATATCATCATTCAAGCATGTTTGGTTGAATAATCTGGACATATTATGTTTATTTAT